TGATGACCAACTGCTTACCAAAAAAATGCTGAATCGGTTACCACTAATCAGGAATGTATATACCAAATGCTTCATGTACTTGCCAAAATTGTTTTTTGCCAATCTGATGACTACTGTATTAGTCCGTTCTTAAGCTGCTAGAGGGACATATCAGAGACTGAGTAATTTATAATGGAAAGAGGTTTAATTGGCTCACAGTTCTGCACGGCTGGAGAGGCCTCAGGAAACTTACAATCATGGCGGAAGGGGAAGCAAAAACATTCTTCTTCAAATGGTGGCAGGAAAGAGAAGTGCTGAGCAAACTGGGGAAAAGCCCCTTGTAAAATCACCTACCATAAGGTCCCTCCTCAACACGTGGGGATTACAATTCAGATTACAATTAAAGATGAGATCTGGGTGGGGACTCAAAGCCAGACCGTATCAACTATGAAACTCTATCTCCTTGTAGTTTTAATCTGCATTTCCCAGATTAGTAACAGGGTAGAATACCTTTTCATTCATTTATATCTGTATATGGATATATAGAATATGAATATATAGATATATACGAACATACAGCTATGAATATATATCTATCTATATACCATTTGGGTTTCCTCTTCCATAAAACATCTATTGAAGCCTTGTGCCTATTTTTCTATGAGTTTTCTTAATGATTTGTAATGTGTGGATACTAATACTTATATGTGATGCAAATATCTCTCCCCAGTAGATGACCTGTCTTTTCAATCTCTTTATTAGTTGTCTTTTAATAAGAAACTTCTTTACTTTCATATGGTGGAATTTATTAACCCTTTTCTTTATGGTCTGCAGTTTGTTTTATAGTTTTTACCTCCTCAACTCACCAAAAATGCATACGCGTATTTTTTACCCAATTTCATCTTTCACATATAAACATAAAATTGTTCCAGCACCATTTATTAAAAACTTCAGGCCGAAGGTGGTGGCTCACGCCTGTAATCCCAGCACTTTGGGAGGCCAAGGCGGCGGATCACGAGGTCAGGAGATCGACACCATCCTGGCTAGCACGGTGAAATATCCTCTCTCTACTAAAAATACAAAAAATTAGCCGGGCGTGGTGGCGGGCGCCTATGGTCCCAGATGCTTGGGAGGCTGAGGAAGGAGAATGGCGTGAACCCGGGAGGCGGAGCTTGCAGTGAGCCGCGATCGAGCTGCTGCACTCCAGCCCCCGCAACAAAGCAAGATTCTGAGATTCCGTCTCAAAAAAAAAAAAAAAAAAAATTCATTCTTCCTGTTAGAAGAACCAATCCACCATCAGTCCTTAGCGTCCCTGCACACTCTCATCCGTTGAGAATGCAAGGCCTTTTATCTGGACCATTTCTCAGTTTTTGTCTGCTGCAAGCAAACCTGAGGTATGATTTAACATCGCCTACTAAAGAACAGGCCAACTTCCAACATCTCTTCTCTCATCCATGAGATACTGAGAAAAAAAAATATTTTTAATTTCCATGTGATTAAAAAAGGTTTTTTTTGGTTACCTATTTCTAACCTAACTGAGTTGGTATTACAATAGTGTATAAGGTATCAATTCTCTAAAATTTGTTGAAACTTGTTTCACGGCCCAGTACATGATTAATTTTCATAATGATTCACTTGATGTTTCTATGGTGTGTGGATGAAATATACGTCCATTGGATTAAGCTTGTTAATTGCACTGTTTAAATTTTCTATATTCCTACTAATCTTTTTTTGAGATCTGCTTTCTACATCAAATACTTAGGCAGATATATTACAATCTCCTGCTATACTGGTAAAATTTTTCAATTTTTTCCTTGTACATCTGTTAACTTTTTGCTTCATTTTGTGGCTATGGTTATTAATTGCATGTAACTTTAAAACATATATACTCCTACCAAATTAGCCATTTCCCATTATGTATCAATTCTTTTTGTCTTTAAGTCTATTTGAAATGATGTACTAGTTTTCTTCCCATTAATATTAGCCAGGCAGCAACCTAAGTGTCCATCAATGAAAGGAATAGATGTGGTACGTATACACAATGGAGTACTCTTCAGCCATGAAAAAGAACGAGATCAGGCCAGGGGTGGTGGCTCACGCCTGTAATCCCAGCACTTTGGGAGGCAGAGGTGGGCGGGTCATTTGAGGTCAGCAGTTCAAAATCAGCCTGGCCAACATGGTGAAACCCCATCTGCACCAAAAAAAAAAAAAAAAACCCCACAAAAATTAGTGGGGCATGGTGGTGTGTGCCTGTGGTCCCAGCTACTTGGGAAGATGACGCAGGAGAATCGCTTGAACCTGGGAAGTGAGGTTACAGCGAGTTGAGATCACACCACTGCACACCAGCCTAGGCAACAAAGGGAGACGACTCAGTCTCATAAAAAAAAGAGAGAGACCCAATCATTTGCAACAACATGGATGGAACTGGAGATCATTAAGTTAAGTGAAATAAGCCAGGCACAGAAAGACAAACATCACATGTTCTCACTTATTTGTAGGATCTAAAAATCAAATGAATTGAAATCATGAACATAAGAGTAGAAGGATAGCTACCAGAGGCTGGGAAAGGTAGTGGGGGATTAGTGGGAAGGAGGTGGGGGTGGTTAATGAGTACCAAAAAAAAAAAAGAATAAGACCTACTATTTGATAGCACAATAGGGTGACTATAATCAATAATAACTTATTTATATATTTTTAAATAACTTAAAGAATGTAATTAGATTATCTGTAACTCAAAGGATAAATGTTTGAAAGGATGGATACCCTATTTCCCGGGAGGTGCTTATTTCACATTGCATACCTGTATCAAAACATCTCATGTACCCCATAAATATATACACCTACTATGTACACACTAAAATTTAAAAAAATGAAAAAAAAATTGCCAGGTGTATGTTTTTCCATCATTTTACTTTCAACATTTTTGTTTTCTTGTAGTCTCTATTCTATATCCCATATAAATGAATATTGTTTTCAAAGGCATGCATGTATTTGGATTTACTTCTACCATCCTTTTTGGTATCCCACTCTTTCCATGTTAATTTTTCTCTTTTCTTGCCTTCTTTGGTATGATTGTTTTTACTCATTCCATTTCTTTTAATCCTCTATTAGTGTGGAAGTTATATACATATTTCTATCACTGAAATGTTACCTTATAATTTTTTATATATACTTCTAAAATTCCAGTTATCTTTAGTCTGCTCCTAAACAATAAACAATAAATATATATACGTGTGTGTGTGTGTGTGTATATATATATATATATATTTTTTTTTTTTTTTCTTTTTTTGAAACAGAGTCTTGCTCTGTCACCTAGGCTGGAGTGCAGTGGCACAATCTCAGCTCACAGCAACCTCCGCCTCCCGAGTTCAAGCGATTCTCCTGCCTCGGCCTCCTGAGTAGCTGATACTACAGGCGTGCACCACCACATCCGGGTTTTTTTTCAAAAATATTTTTGGTAGAGACTGGATTTCACCATGTTGGCCAGGCTGGTCTCAAACTCCTGACTTCAAGTGATCTGCCCACCTCGGCCTCCCAAAGTGCTGGGATCACAGACGTGAGCCACTGTGCCCAGCAACAATAAAAAGATCTTTACATGCTAGCTCCAATCACCTTCTCCTTGTTTATAATATAATATAGCTTTTTATTTTTCGAGACGGAGTCTCGCTCTGTTGCCCAGGCTGGAGCGCAGTGGCACGATGTTCCTCACTGCAAGCTCCGCCCCCCCCTGGGTTCATGCCATTCTCCTGTCTTAGCCTCCTGAGGAGCTGGGACCGCAGGCACTTGCCACGATGCCCAGCTAATTTTTTTGTATTTTTAGTAGAGATGGGGTTTCACTGTGTTTGCCAGGATGGTCTCGATCTCTTGACCTCGTGATCCACCCACCTCGGCCTCCCAAAGTGCTGGGATTATAGGCATGAGCCACCGCACCCACCCCATATAGCTTTTTCTTAACTTCATAAGATGCTATTATTATTTATGCAGTCCATTTTTATTCACCCATATAATTGTCACTCTCTTTCATCGTTTCTTCTTAAATCTCAGATTTTCTACCTATGATCATTCACTTCTGCTTAAAAAATAGTCTGTCAGTGAACTTTCACATTTTGTTTGTATGAACATGTCTTTATTTTGTCCATGATCTTGAAAGATGTTTTTGCTATAGAATTCTACACTGTTATTTTGTCTCACATATCATTTCATAGTCCATTACTATTTCCATTACTGTTATCGAAACCTGATAATCCTTTGGAGGTAATGTCTTTTCTCTTAAAAATGTTCCCTTTAGTAACCTCTTTTGTATTTTCCAATTTCTTGTCTATATTGTGCTCTAAATTTCTTAAGATTTACTTCTCATTATGCTAACTTTTCAATATATTTGCTTTTATACCTATTCACTGAATTTTAATTTCAATTACTATTTTCATTTCCAGAACTTGTTTCTGTTTCAACATGTTTGCTCTTTTCATTTTTAAGCCTCTTACTGAACATATTAAATGTATTTATTTTCTATTTTCCATCTGATAATTCCAAAATGTGAACTATTTGCAGATCTGACTCAAATGATTCTCTTATATTGTGCCTTTTTCCTTGGATGGTCTGTAGTTTTTATTATAAGCCACTTATTTTCATTAGAACTTTACCAATGGGAATTCTTTGATAATGATGATTACATGTTAGGTTTTATCAGGCCCTTGGGAGTAGTAACAGCCCAGGATCATTTTAAATTCTTAAGGTTTAGTGTGAATTCATGCTGCAACTAGTGTGAGAACTGGTTTGTGGTAGCATATTTTCAGTGACATTTTTTCGATTTACAGCAATATTCGAGAAAAAAATTTACCTGTAGAAACCCTGGGGGCATAAAGGGAAAGAATTTCTATATCACTCTTACAAAGGTGCAGTACAATGGGGCTCCAAATTAATGAGGAAGACTATTTCCTGCTAAATGCTCCACCTTGACTGGGTCTAGGCTTTGCTTCCTGATCCCTGAGCCCCACAAAGCCAAGAACAGAGAAGCTCACCTGATTTGGCAAATATCCTCAAGGTAATAGCCAGGTTCAGAACTCAGCCTGCCCTAAGTACTCTCCCCTTTGCGCCAGAGCACTGATGCATTTAAGATTTTATTTTATCCAGCATTTTAGGTTGTTTTCAGCAGAAAGCTGAAGGTACTTGGTACCTTGATCCAGGTACGTGGTTCACCATGCTGCTGGAAACAGATATTTACATTAATTTCTGATGACAGTGTCACTCAAGTACATTATCCTTTATTTTAGCACATAATTTCTTATGTTTTCCTTTCTGCCTCAGCACACTTGAGAAGTTTGACATACTTCTAACAAGAGTTGCTCATTATGACAATGAATCCCAATCGGAAGTAGGTAAAGTACATATCCCTGGAGGTAAAAGATTAATGGATACTTCTACAGGCCACAAGTGTTGCAAATTTTCATTTTGTGCTTTCATTTCAATAATAAAAAATGTATTTTGCCATTTTCAAAGAGAAAAGTGAGAGACATTTTTAAAGAAAACTGCTCTAAGAACTAAAGTTGGAGATTCTCAAAATGAGATTTTTTTTTCTTTAAAAGAGATCCATATTATTTGAGAGAGGCACTGCTCCATACTGAAAGGTCTCACATTGCTATATTTAAGTTACCAAACAAACCTTACTTCCATATCTTAGTCCTCAATGGTACTGTATGTAGTCAATGTACCTGATTATATAGGTCTGCGATCCCTTATCTAAAAACCTTAGGGCCAAATATATTTCAAAATTCAGAATTATTTTGGATTTCAGAAAGGTAATACGATATCTATATATATACACATATATTTCTCTCACATCCTAGTGAAGTCTAAGGCAATACCCCAAAATAAATATGTTAATATTTCTGTGGCAAAATGTATATTCACACTAAGAAGGGGGTAAAGACCACCAATACCCTTATATCCACTCAGATCATGTTTTACCACTATAAAGGTTAAGAAAACTTTTGATTTCTGGAGGATTTTGGATTTCTAAATCATGGAAATGGACTTATCCATTTATTATCTGTTACAGAATGGAAAGCCAAGTAAAATTCATTAGAATTTCACATAACACCACAGATCTGAATAAAATCTTAATAAGGGTAAAGAGTTCACCTTAAGGGACATGAATTTAATGCATAAACTTTCTGATTCCCCCACCCCCACCAATACTTATAAGTCTCTTTTTTGTCTATCTGTGGTTTAACAGTTGAGGATACAGAGTAAGTAACCTCCTGGTAAGGAAATGTATTATGAATTACTATAATGTCAGAAGTACCTAAATGTACATAGGAATTTTAAATATAGAAATTTAAATCTATATAAAATGTATACAGGAATTTTAAATGCTAAAGATAAAGTATTAGCTATATTGGACCATGATTATAGTATCTCTGCATCTAGTAATGTAGATAAAAGGTACAGAAAGAGAAGTATAAGAGATATACTATTCAGAAGAACCTCTTCTGGTTCTTTTCTAAGAGACTTCAAATCAGAAACTTCTTGCATCTACTACATGCATGGCTCCGTTGTCATAGTTAGAGTCTATGGTAAATATTATATAATTTATAAAATGAAAATCTTCTTCCTTTAGAAAGGAATTAACATACATAATACTAGGAGATATTGGGCAGAAACTTGAGGAGGCAATATATTTGAAGTTGAAATTGCGAAGGATAAGGAACTCCACTAATTTAAAAATTCAAAAAGTAAAATCTAAATCATTTATCTTGATATTAATTACATCTGGAGACAGTGAAGCAAGGGATTATCAGCATGAGCTGTGAAGAAATACTGCTTGGGTTCAAATCCCAGCCCTGCCTTTCACTAAGCTATGAGACTTATCAATTTAGAATTATACTACTACTTACTTTCATAAGATTCTTAGTACAAAATAAACAACAAAAATAAAGCACTTAGAACAGAGGTACAGAGTAAGTATACAATGAATACTAGCTGCAGAGATAGTAATGATGGTTATTACTATTATAAATTTTAAAATTATTAGCTTTCTTCCTAAAGTAGATATAAATATAAATATTATATCTAAATATAAATATAAATATAAATAAATATAAATATATAAATATTATAACCTCCAAATATAAAAATTAGGGTACAAAATCAGTAACAAGGCTTTATATTTTGAAGTTTTGAAATTAAAAAAATATTTGTCTAGTGTTAAGGATAGATCTCCCTCACGACCAATGACATCCACTGACGAGGTGGCCAAATGAGATCAGGACTTCTTGGAAGAGTGCCACAATACGTGTTTCATAATTTTCTTTATTATTCCACTTTCACTTCCTTATTATATTTGTCTCCATGCACTTTGCTTGCAGATATTTTGCCAATCATGCAACATGATAGAACCCTTCTTCTAATCCTTGTAGTTTAAATAATCCAAAAGAACTTAAAATATATAAACTTTTAATATTTTGTTATTAATGGCCAAGAAAGGTCTAAATTACTTTATTAACAGCTTTGTCTGATGCCAACATTCTCACACACAAAGAATTTATGAACAATAAAAATATACTACCTCTGAAATAATCATGAGTTTTCACTATTAATGCCATTCTCAATAATAAAAAGAAAAGACACAGCAACAAATGTAATGGCATCATCAAAACTGGACAAGAATATAAATATCTCCTAGTTACATTCATTTGTATCCAACTAATTTAGAATGTACTATTCTGTTTCAGAATTCTTAAGTTAAAATACTCAAAATAATAATTTTCTATCCATTTTTGAGATAATACTTTTAACAAATGAGGCAGATCTAAGAAAAATATATAAATAACATGGTTAATTCTAACCTAGCAACTACAGTACATTAAAAATACAGGTATACGAATATAAAATTTATTTAATGACCAAAAAAAATCCAGCTCAGTTCAGAAATTCTCATGAACATAAAGGTTCTGGGTTTTTTTCTTCTGGTTCTGTCACCCAGGCTGGAGTGCGGTGGCATGATCATAGCTTACTGCAACCTCAAGCTCTTGGGCTCAAGTGATCCTCCCACCTCAGCTCCCTGAGTAGCTGGGACAACAGGCATGTGTCACCACACTCAGCTAATTTTCTTATTTCTGTAGAGGCAGGGTCTCCCTATGTTGCTCAGGCTGGTCTCAAACTCCTGCGCTCAAGGATCCTCCTGCCTTGGCCCCTCCCTAATTGCAAGGATTACAGGTGTGAAACACTGTGCCTGGCCAACATAAGTGATTTTTAGTGCACTCTTTAATAACTTACATAGGTCCACAGCAAATAAAGCATAGCTGCAATTAACTCGGTTCGATTAATCATGAATCATGAGTTCAATACCTTAAAAAAGTGCTTTTAAAGGTTTATTATTGAATCTCTTCATGCTACATTTTCAATTTTATTTAAGTTTCTATCTTACGTATACTATAGTTCTTAGGGTCCTAAATCTATGTTGTTTCTAAATAATTGTTTAATTTTTTAAAATTTATATTTCATCCATTATATTGTCTAAGAATTCTTACTGGGAAATAAAATATAGCACTGAGAAAAGACTCAGATCAAAACAAAATACGATAGTCAATTCTTGATAGCCCAAAGCAAACTTAGGCAAATTTAGTGTTACCTTGTACCCTTGGGCCAGTCACTGAATATCTTTCCTTATTACCTCTTTGGGTAATGAAGAACATCAATTGTGCTGTTTCTAATAAGCTTTACTACATGGAGTGAAAAAGAACCATGCCATCTGTTATTTCTACTAGAACTGGGAAGAAGTTGAAACCAACACTTGAATAACTGTACCAAGAGGCCTGAGGAAGACTGTAGCCAGTCCCAGGCTTTAAGCAAGAAATAATTAACCTCAAACTATATGGCTGTATCTAGCCTACAGATAAAATTGTTTCTCACCATTTTGACCCTACTACTCCAGCTTCTTACTTAAAATCAGTCCCATTAAATACTTAAACACGTGAATCCTGAAGCATATAAAAATAGGATTTTTTGGTTACACTTAATTTAAAAGTTTACAATCTCTAATTCTTTTTAGGTGGTCTTAAGGTATTTGGAAACTTTAACTGCATGTCATCAGCAAACAAATCAATTTCACAAATGTCAAAAGAGCAACCAGAAAGCAGGCATCATCTCAGATTTGTGGCTTTCTTATCCAATCACTCTCAAGTAACCAATATTAAAAAAACAAATTGACTTAGGCTAAGATAACCCTACTAAAGGGAAAGAGATAGTTATTCACTGAATTCAGATCACTAAACAATGTTTTTCACAGAAAAAGAAATGTCTACTACAGAGCTATGGCAAAGCCCAGAAATCCAAATGTTTGTCAATTTTATGGAAACTGCCTAGCAATTAGTTCGATTCTTCACTGCAATCTAAGCTTTGCCACTAAGATTTAATATATAATAAAATAAATTTCCATTCAATTTTCCTCTCCTTTCCTCACCTCCAATATTCTTAGGAATGAACCATATTTATTAATTATAATAAGGTACCATTTCTCAAGCCTGGAAGCCACAGCATTGTATTTCTCAGATTTATTCAAAAGTATAATCAGATTACAATAAACTTGACATAATATATTTTAGCAGTTTACAGATACTAATATTTTCTAAATCTGAAGACTTCCTCATTTTTAAAAAGGAAAACAATTTTTTATTTTTATTTTTTTCCTTGTAATTAAGGTTGGTTCTCACTCAAAAAAGGAAAACAATTTTCTTCCTGTTAATTTGTCGAGTCAGTAGCAAAAATAAAGTCTAGCATTTACTGAACGCACATTATCTGCAATGCACTGTGTAATAAACTTAACAGCCACCACAGCTTTAAAGATATTCCATAATCTCAGAATATCTAAAAACACTGGTAAACCTCATGTAAGAAAAAAAAAAAGGCATATAAAAGGAAGGAACTCACAACCTTTCCTACTGATTTAAAAATACATTTTTGTTTTGATTAAGATTCTCCATTATAAATAATGTCTATCCCCATAAAATCCAATACTGAGATTACAGAGTAAAATCAAATCCCAAATGTACTGCAAAAAGATGTATATTTGATTATAATGCTACATGATGTCATGCATCCAGGAGAACTGAAGCATTATGGTCTCTTAGGGATAAAACTGCCTCTTGGTCATAGATTTAGGTGACACAGCATGTGATCCATTGTCTCTAAACAAAAAATGTGTGCAGCTGCATTTTCTAGTCAAGGGGGATGGGAGTGCAGAATACAAAAGGGTCAAAGATCTGTCTCGTGGAGAAATTGCTTCTCAAATGAGAGTAAAAAATGAAATAAAAGTGAGTGGGGGGAAAACCTTTCTCCAACTCATACTAAAAGCAGATACCCTTAAAACTAAAACAAAAGAAAAAAAAAATATGTGTGGCAACCTTCCACTGAATTCACTTTTCTCCTATACTAACTTGCCCAGATTCAATTTGTAGACCATGTGTTTAGATGCCACTTCTATTTAAATATTAATAATTTTCTGTCAATTGTACATAGTATATAGACTTTCTCTACACAATGTTGCAGTATTTGTCTCAAAAAGAAAAGTGTAGTCATTCGCCCCTTTCTTGGGGAAGTTAAAATGAACCAATAACCTACAAACCTGATATTTTCTGCATAAAGACCAAATACATTAAAACGAGTCCCTAGCACATAATCCTCCTCCCTTTCACAGAAACACCGATTTCAAAAAGCAGTACCACAAAAGATCTAAATTGAGTGAAAACTGTTTTAAGAAAAATGGTTATTTTTAATAAATGTTAAAAAAATTGGTGACTAAATAATTCATAAACTTCTATTATCTCAAACATAGCACTTATATACCCTACATGTTACTAAATACAACAAAAAAGAACCACTACTAGCTCTTAGAGTAAATCTGACTTAGAAAACCCATCTACTTAAACTTCAGGATTGCTATCAATGCCATATCTAAACACAACTAAGTTAAAAGCAGAAAAAAAACTGACAGCACAGAAATCAAAGAACAAAAATAAAAGGATAAAAATATACTTACCATCTAGAATCAGAAGTAATATCACCTGTACTATAAGTCACACAGTGACCAATTATTAGCCAACCAGCACTTTGGTTTTTTGACAGACTTGTACAGTCAGCCCTCTCCATCTGTGGGTTCTGTATCCATGGATTCAACCAACTGCACATCAGAAATATTTGGGGGGAAAAAAAGGTTGGTTGTATCTGTAACGAACACATATAGACTTTTTTTTCTTGTCATTATTCCCTAAACAATACAGTATAACAACTATTTATGTAGGATTTACATTATATTAGGTATTATAAGTAATCTAGAGACTTAAAGTACAGTATATGGAAAGAAGTGGGTAGGTTATATGCAAATACTACACCAGGTAATACAAGAAACTTGAGCATCTTTGGATTTTGCTATCTTCAGGAGGTCCCAGAATCAATCCCCCATGATATCAAGGGATGACTATATTGCACTTGAAAAACAACACTGAAAGGAACAAAGTTATAGAAACCTAAAAAGTCAACAGATCTAATGTCCTAAAGGACAAATTTGATTGGCATTTGAATATAAACAAGCAGTCCTGTCATCAAAATTTGTTTATGTATAATATTTCAATGCCTTGAATATAAGTCATAGTCATGCAGTAAATCATCTATAGCCAATTGAATTGCTCCACTGAAAAGAAGCATCTTTTAAAAGTATATTTGTGATCTGAAATAAATCTAATAAATGCAGACAATATCTTACTAACAGCCCTAATGTCAAATTTGGAAAGCAAAAGTAAAACTTAGGACTCTATACTGATTGGTTTAATATATTGATTTTATATGTAATTCTAAAAGCAAAAATATAATTAACACAAAATTAAGTTGATTTTAAAGAGGGTTACATTAACCTCATACATACCCTGACTTAAAAATATATTTATGCTAAAAAATTATTAAAAATATTCATGTTATTAAAGACTATCTCCAGCTGGGCACGGTGGCTCACACCTGTAATACCAGCACAGCACTTTGGGAGGCCAAGGTAGGTGGATCACCTGAGGTGGGGAGTTCGAGACCAGCCTGATCAACATGAGAAACCATGTCTCTACTAAAAATACAAAAGTAGGTGTGGTGGTGCATGCCTGTAATCCCAGCTACTTGGGAGGCTGAGGCAGGAGAATTGCTTGAATCCAGCAGGCAGAGTTTGCGGTGAGCCAAGATCGCACCATTGTACTCTAGCCTGGGCAACAAAAAAGAAACTCCCTCAAAAAAAAAAAAAAAAAAAAAAAAAAAGACTATATCCAGATCATTTTAGAAAGTAATACTTTCTAAAATAAATGTTTCTAAATAAACTTACATGGAATATAACCTAAATTCTAAAAAGCCATTATCAACTGCAGCTACATATAGCTAAGTAGTCTAGTGGTCACTACTAGCAGACATGGTTAGCAAGTGAGTGGATGTTAGTTCTATTTGCTACTATAAATACTGGAAAAGAAAATGACTATTTTTTTTTCTTTTTGGAGACAGATTAATGTTTGCAGTATTTTGTTTTGCTTTTTTTTTTTTTTTTTTTTTAAAAAAAAAACTGTTGAGTTTGAGATGTTTGTGAGATATCCAAGTAGGACAGGCATTTGGGATATACATGATCTAAAGTTCAGGAAAGAGGTCTGGTCTGGAGATAATTTTTGGAGTCATTAAATCTGAAATATCTCTCAAATCTGTCCACTTTTCTCCATTTTCACTGTCACAACTATAGCCTAGGTCAACATTATCTTTCATCCAGACCACTGCAAAGGTAGTATAGGTTGAATACTCACTCCTTATCAGAAATTCTTGAGACCAGAATGCTTTGGATTTGGGATTTTTGGGGACTTTGGAATATTTATTTGTATATATATGATGAGATACTTAACGGATGAGACCTAAGTCCAAACATAATATTCATTTGTTTCATATATATCTTATACAAACAGCCTGAAGGTAATTTTATTTTTCCCTTAAGATATGCTGAATAAACTATGTGTTGGTTTGAATAAACCATGCACCTGCATTTTGACTACAAACCATCACATTAGGTCAGGGATGGAATCTTCCACTTGTGGCATCATGTTGGCACTCAAAAAACTTCAGATTTTGGAGCATTTCAGATTTTGGGTTTTTGCATTAGTGATGCTCAACCAGTATACATGAATGGAAACCCCTATGGTGTGTTCTGCACAACCACACACAGTAGCTCCTACAGTATCTTCCTAAATTAAGTCTCCCTACACTTATGCCAGACTCTCTCTTAATTTGTTATCTGTAATATAGCTAATGTAATACTGCAGAATGCAAATCTAGCAATGTCCCTTTCCTGCTTAATCCATCATGGGGACCCTTAGGTCAAAATCCTTAACCTCGTATACAAGACCCTGTGTATTTTAGCCATGCTCTAACCTTTCAGGACACATTTTTTGCCACCCTTTTCCTTGTTCTTTTCATTTCAGATATCTGAATAGACCATGCTTTCTCCTCTCTCAGAGCCTATACACATCCTACTCCTGCCTGGAACACTCTTCATTCCACCTCACCCTGGCTAACTGCTATTTATTACTCGCACCTCAGCTTGGAAATCTTGGGAGAAGAAGGCCGGGCATGGTGGCTCATGTCTGTAATCCCAGCAATCTGGGAAGCCAAGGCAGGCAGATCATTTGAGGCCAGAAGTTTGAGACTGGCCTGGCCAATATGGCAAAAACCCCATCTATACTAAAAATACAAATATTAGCTGGGCATGGTGGTGTGTGCCTCTAATCCCAGCTAGTTGGGAGGCTGAGGCATGAGAATCATCTGAACCTGGGAGACACAGGTTGCAGTGAGCCAAAATCACGCCACTGCACTCCAGAGCCTGCGTGACAGAGGAAGACTCCGTCTCAAAAAAAAAGAAATCTTGGGGGAAGAACTCTCTAAAATCCCAGAGTATGGAGGAGCTCCAGTTCTACTCTCCCACAGTGCTCTAACTTTTTGATAACAATTGCCACACCTGAGATGGTTTAATACACATCTTTCTTGACTAACTGAAAGCTTGATAAGGGCAGAGCTAGTTGTCTGTTTTGTTTACTGCTCAAATATTTGTTGTCCGGCAAATCTTGGCTCTAGTTCTGCTAGTACGTAATTTTGTCATCTGTAAAATGAGATGTTAGACTTTATTATAATAATATAAATTCTAATCAAAACTGAAATTCAAATATTACTAGCTTTCCTATAGATACATACACGTGAGATCTACATTTCCCCTCTGTATCTATTCCACATACACTCACGTTATATTCCATACATATTTACAGATGTATGTGTACATTACAAATACACACACACAGAGAATGAAAGAGCTAGTACTTTCATAAATTTAAAAAAACTCATTGAATGCTTATTGGTAACAGGTATTGTTGTAAATACTTTACTAGTATTAACTATTTTAATCTTATTCATAACAACCCTATCAAGTAGTTGCCATTATTAGTGTCTATTTTATATGCAGAAACACATACAGAAAAAGATTAAACAGTGTGCTCCAAACTGGAAGTACGGCTCTAGAGTTCACACTATTCACTACTACACTAGCCTGACATCCTGCCTAGATTGCTTTATAAGTACCAAAGACCAAAAACAAACAAACAAGCAAAAATCAATATATGATTCAGTATCTACATCCTCAAGCTAATGCTTCTGTATTAGAAGTCAGTCCAAACTATACTAATCCTGTTCAAATACATTTCTCTACATGCTTGCTTTTGATATTCTAACAACTGGATTGTCTACCTTCCCTATCATCATTCAGTCAAACCCTAATATTTAAGGCCTAGTAACAACTCTTCCACATAATTCCCACCCCCAGCTTTTTTCTGTTAGAGTCTTTAAATCTCTCCGTGTTCCAACTGCATTTACATTTCTTCTTTTTACTGTAATTATTTATGTTAAGAGAGCAAAAGAAACAATAGACATGAGATCACTTCATAAACACTAAAGTTATTTTATAAGATACTTAATACACACCAAGTCAAAAGTATTGTTAACCAAAGAAAGAAAATAGAAAACAATGGACTCAATATCCCTAAACAGAGTACTTCAAAAGCAAGCACAACCTGGCTCTAACTTGCTGCCAATTTGAATAGAAATTATACCCAAACCATACCACATCATTAAGTTTTGTTTTAACTAATCAAAGAAGCCATTTTAATCAAACTACATGAAACAAAAAAAAATTGAAGGATGAAATATGATATTCATTCAAATATTTACTGATCCAGGCACTTTGGGAGGCCAAGGCAGGCAAATCGCTTGAGGTCAGGAGTTCAAGACCTGGCCAAAATGGCAAAACCCGTCTCTACTAAAAATACAAAAATTAGCCGGGCAAGGTGGTGGGTGCCTGTAATCCCAGCTACTTGGGAGGCTGAGGCAGGAGACTCACTTGAACCCAGGAGGAGGAGGTTGCAGTGAGCAAGATCGTGCCACTGTACTCCAGCCTGGCTGACTGAGTGAAACTCTGTCGCAAAAATAAATAAATAAATAAAAAATTACTGAGCAATTTATCATTCACATACAGAATACTATGCATTGTATTATGTTTTCCGTTCTATTTTGTGATCTTTTCACTTTCTAAATTTCAGGTCTCTACTTAAGAGATAGTTGATGATATCTGACAATAGTATAGCAAAAGAAAACTTTTAAAATATTATTTTAATTCCATCTGAACAGTATTTCAAAGTAGTAATTGAAGGAAGTCAACAGTAAATCAATTTGTATAAAAAGCACTACTAAATTTGATAGCCATATGCAAAAGAATGAAACTGGACCCATCTCTCACCACATACAAAAATTAGCTATAGAAAAGACTTAAATGTAAGACCTAAAACTATACTATAAAAATCCTAGAAGCAAACCTAGGAAAAACTCTTCCGAACATTGGCCTAAACAAAGAATTTATGACTAAGAACTCAAAAGCAACTGCAACAAAACCAAAAACAGACAAATGAGACTTAATCTGCTAAAAAGCTTCTGTACAGCAAAAGAAATAATCAATAAAGAGACAACCCACAGAATGGGAGAAAATATTAGCAAACTATACATGTGACAAAGGACTAATATTCAGAACCTACAAGACACTCAACAAGAAAAACACAACTTTATCAAAAAGCG